CGTAGCTGCCAGGAGCCGGAGCCGCATAGGGTTGAGCGGTCACTGGTGGACCCGACATGGTTGCGTAGGGCGAGGTATAGACGGGCGAAGCGGCAGAGACGTGTTGAGGGTGCTGCGGCGGATAGGGAGCATTGTAAGGCGGCTGCGTGTTGGCGAATGTGGATGCTGGAGCACTGTCACGACGTTCCCTTGCGTATCCCTGATGAACTGGGGCGGATGCGGCGTCCGAGTGGCTGTATGTCATGGCGACGGATTGCGGCGGTGGCTGAGGGTATGTCTGTGGCTGCGAATAGGCGACCTCGTGTGCTGAGGGTTGCGGAGCCTGAGAAGGAGTGGGAGCCGATTGCTCTCTCTGGCGATGCATTTGCTGCTGCTGAAGCTGGTGTTGGTAGTTGTAAAAGGCACTCGGTGCAGGGGGCACCGGGTTAGAAGCGACCTTGGACCGCGCACGCTTGACCGGCGAGGACGGCGTCGAAGATGAGGCAGCGGCGCTTCTGAGCTCCTCGACGGATGTTCTGCGTTGACGTGGTGGCTCGGGAGAATGCGAGCTGGGAGGAAGATAACCACCGCGCGTGTGAGTGTCGTTCATTTGGCTTGCGGACTTGGCCGACATGGGCTCGTAGGAGGAGCTTCGACGAGGCTTTCGAACGTCGGTGTTGGGCGGCGGGGGAGGCGGCGCGTGGGCCAACCAGGCGGCCGACATGTCTACAGAATCTTGCACCGGCATCTTGGCCGTCAACGTTGGGCGGTGCACGAGATTGGCTCCAGGCGGGAAGGTGCGATTCCAACTCGAAAGGAGGTTGGGAGCGTCGGCGTGCGCCTTGGACGATTAGATGAGCTCGACGGCACGAGCGAGCGTGGTGCCAGATGCGCTGGTGCGTAATGTATTCGTGATTGGGATCGATGGTGGAGCTGAGGCAAGCCAAGCGGACTGTGGGCGTCGATGTTCGAATTGCTACCGGCTGCTGCTTAATTCTCCGCTGCTAGGCTACAGTCACAGCCAACTTCCGTGTGTGATTGCAGCGAGGGCAGCCTCAACCAGGGCGACGCGGGCTGCAGCCAACCTCTACCAAAAAAACATGCACCCACCCACTGACGCGGATGCCGAGCGGCCTCAGACGCGCTGCTGCTGAGCGAGACCAACACATCTCGGCTCGGCCGCGCCTCCTCTCTCTCAGGCACCACGCAGCGGCCCGCAGCTTTTTTTGCGCCCCTTTTCTCCACCTCGCGCTGCCCTCCTGCTGTTGCGCGCTGCAAAATGCTGTAATTTCCGAGCAGCTGCAGCACGCGCCGCCGAGTCTTTTTTTTTT